TGTTTTTTGGGGAAGGAAACAGAGGATCAGAGAAGTGGAAACAGCTTATGTGGAGTCCCTTACAGAGTGCGTGGGCAGCCTGTCTGGGATTAAAGCCTGAGTCCGTCTGATCCCAGAGTCTTGAGGGAAGAGATAACTTTTTAAAAAAATTTGATTTTAGAGAGAGGGAGAGAGAGAAGCCTCAATTGGTTGCCTGCAACCTGGGCATGTGCCCTGACTGGGAATTGAACCCGTGACTTTGGTGCATGGGATGACACTCACCAACACACTGGCCAGAGTGGGAAGAGATAATTTTAAGGATGGGGAGGGGAAGGAGAGAGGGAGGGAGGGTGTAGGATTTCTGGCTGTGCTCCGCGGCCCAGGCATGGTTCCTCCGGCAACGTGGTGGGCATGGACCCTGACTCTGATTCTGGGTCAGCACAAGGGAAGAACAGGCGCTGCGCCCATGCACCTGAGGCCGTGACACCATTGTGCTTCGGAGACACTGAGCTTTCTGGACAGGAGGCAGGGCGGGCCAGGAGGTGCCCGGGGCAGGAAGGAGTCGGATTCCCAGCGAGGCTGTGTCCTCGAGAAGTCACTACTCCTTTTGGGGGCTCAGTTTCTTCATTTGAAAAGGATGGGGCAGGAGTAGAAGACTTTTCAGGTGCCTCTGGATTTAGGGATGGCCAAGGGCTATGTCTCCAGGGCACGTGACTGGTTCCCTGCAGTGACTCCTGCTCCATCAGCCGTCGATGCCACACCCTCCCTGCTCAGAGTACCTTGTTTTATGACTGTTCTCCCTGGGAATGGCTCGGCCTGAGAACTGAGCTGAGCACACACAGTAACTGCGAGGTGGGTGTTACCCTCATATTACAGATGAGAAAACAGGTTCAAGGACAGCTCACCCACTTGAAGTCTTTGCCCAAAGGCCTCCTTCTCAGCGCCCTGACCCACCCTATTTAAAAAGGCATCCGGGCCTCTATCCCATCACTCCCAACTTGCCTTAACGCTGCTCTCCCTGACCCCCACTAGCACTCATCTCCTTCTGATGCACCATATACTTATTGTGTTGGTCAGTGCCTGCCACGAGTGCTCGGAGCCATCAGGAATCTTTGCCCCTGCTGCTCACAGATGTATGTCCCAAGCCAGCCAGTGCGTGCCGAGTGACAGCTGGTTAGATAACTTGCTCAGGTGTCAGTTACCTGGAGGTGGCTGCCCGTAAGGCTTAAGAACACAGGCTTTGGAGCCAGAGAGTTGTGGGCTCGAATCACAGCTTTTGCCACTTAGTCATGCGACCTTTGCAACATATTTGTTTCTGATCCTTATTTTCTTTGGTTAATAACATAGACTAATAACATGTCTCTCCTAGGATGGATGTGAGGATTAATGGAGCATATGGTAGGCGTTCCATGAATGTTAGCTTCTTTCCCCGGGGAAGGTTGCTTTTTCTCTTCTTGCTTCTCATTTTTCTCTGACGGTTGACCCTTTTGACCAGTTTGCTGTTCAGCCAGTGGTTCCTTAAGAGGAGAAGCCGCGGAAGGAGGGGCTGGCGTTATCTGTGGAATTAACCAGCCCAGGCTCCCTCGCCCTCCCTCTCCCTCCTTTCACGAGGTGCCTGTTGCCAAGGAGACGTAGCATCAGCCCTGACAGAATGTGGCTGGGGTCTGGCCCACACGGAAGGAGAGGGACAATGGCTGACCCTGGGGAGGTTTGCCTCCTGGCTGACAGTGTGGGTGGGGGCATCATCCTGGAATCTGCTGGAAAAACCCAGCTGGCTCCCTGAGAAAATAAAGTTCATCCACCCGTCTCCATGCGGCTCTGGGGGCGCTGCAGTCCAGTGGTGCTGGTAGGGTGTGAGGCCCAGACCCTGGGAGGGGGCCATAGCAGCCAGAGTGACACATAATCAAACTCCTGGCCCTCAGAATGGCACCTCCCCAGAGCAGGGCTGGCAACTGAGTAGATGCTCGCAGAGGCCCTGCGGGTGATTCACAATCCTGTGTCCACGAAGGCTGGCCAGGCTGGCCCCGTGAGAGAACTCAGCACGGGCACTGCCATCTCTTTTTGCAGCTCGAATGAGACTGTGGGGAGACTGTCTCAGATCCCAGGGCCTCCAGGGGCTCCATTCCTTCCTTCCTTCACAACCCATCCCTTGACCCATGGCAGCCTGAGAGATGGCTTTTGCCTAACCGGTTAGCCACCCCACATGGAGAAGGAAGAAGCAGAGGTCGGAGCACAGGCAGGGGCTGGACTGCCCTGATCGGGCCTTGCCGCTGTCTGTCCCAGCCGTGTGACTCCGGACAAACCACTCAGCGTCTCTGCAAAACCGGGACCATTAGAGCACTTGCCTCTGGGGGTTGCTGTGAGGATTAAACGAGTTGACTCTTGTAAAGGGTTTAGAAACGGTACCGACACTCCAAGCTCACTGAATGTAAGCTATTGTTGTCATTTTACCGGGTACATTCCTGGAAAGAGCAGTATTCTTGGGCAGAATGAAAATGGAATTATTTTTATTATTTGGTTTTTCTTGGGGGGAAAAAAGGGACGTTCTGGCAATGCTGGCCCACCTCCCGGCTCTGCTGGAGTGAGTCCTGGCTGCCCCCTTCAGAGAGGCTCAGCTCCTGCATCGGCATGGGCCCTCCCAGGCCCATTCCATTACTTGTTAGCCCCAAGGCATTCAATACTTCTGTTACAAACTCAAATCCAGCATAAGCCAATAAAGATGTCAGGAGTGGGGCTAGGGCGTAAAGGAAAGACTGAATTGTCTTTGTTTAGAAGGGGAAGGCAAGAGTTTGGGCCCCCAAGGGCCTCAGAGGAGGGGGCGTTAGAAGAAAGAGGGGGATGGGGATCCCGAGCCTGATAGCTTGGATGCTGTTCTGCGCCCACCCATCTGCGACTGGTTCAGCACAGAATAGTCCATGTCCTGGACTGAGGCACTGGGCTCCTGGCCCACTGGGGAGGCCTGTTATTTCAGAGCAGATCATGTTGAGTTGGTTCACTACCCACCTGTCCTCTGTATCTTTTAGCCTCCTATTTCTTCCAACACAAACATCTTGGGGTCAGGGGACTTGGCCACGCATTGGAGGGGCCTTGTCATACTCTTCATGGGTGGGGGGGGATGGAGACTGATGATTTCACACAGGAGGTTCTCAATGAATGCTTGTGAAATAAATATATGAACGAATGCAGAGAGCTTGCTTTCTGGTATAGCAACCCCTACATTTAGCTAGAGCTTTTAGAAAGCCCCTCTGAGTCCCATTCCTATCCCATGCGCTGGGCTATGGTTGGAGGAAGGCAGTATGGGGACAGCAACTTACCACCATATGCCAGAGCCTAGCTCAGTACCTGGCACATAGTAGGTGTTCAACAAACATTTGATGAATAAGTGAGTGAATGAATGAATCTAATGAAAAGCCTCCAGGATACTGTGTTGTGCTCTTAAGAGCTGGAGGGATTTTGAACTCCTTAGTAACTCATCTGGCGTCACTGACCAAGTAGGATAAAGCAACACAAACATGCCCTCTTGTAAGAAACTCCAAGTGCGGGGATCCGTGTTTACTGCCGATAAGCCGTCCTCGGGAGTTTGCTGTCACCCTGAATCGCGGACGACCTTGGCAGGCCGCCTCCCTAGCTGTCCTGTCCCTTTTACGGGTGTTGTGTGTGCGGCCAGTCAATGGACACTATTGTCTTGTCATTACCATTGCACTGGGAGCCATCACCTCTGTGGGTTGGGGGTTATCTTATATCTTAGATCCATTTGTTTGTTTTTAAAAAGGCAGCTTCTTCCGGGATATTTCGGGAATAGTCTGAACAGTGCCAGGGCAGTCTGTTACCCCGCCCCCCCACCCCCCCCCCCCAAGACGGTGTGTGGGAGAGGGCTCCGGTTCTGGCTCGGAGACCAGCTCGCTGTGACCTTGGGCAGAGCACTTCATCGCGCTGGGCCCCATCTCTGGGGCTCGTTGAGATTTTAATTCTATGTCAACATACAGGAGTGGGCTTCCCGGAAGTGGAGTGATTTTTAAGTTGATGTACGCTTTTCTGTGAAATTGTAGCTGTTTTTATTGAAAAACTTTTCATTTAAGCTCCTGTGCTGAGTGTAAAAACAGCACTAGATACAAGGCATTCATATTTTGTGATTTATTTGGAGTATTAGTATTATATCAGAAAATGGTAGTTTTTTTGGTTAAATATATTTTTAAAAGGCTTCTGCATTCTTAAGTGTGATTTTATTATGTCTTGGGGTGACTTTTCTTCTCCATAAAGAATAGATCTGTGATTAATAATGAACTTTCACACCGAGGCTGGCCATGAAACTACTCTATGGCTTTGCATCATTCCCAAAGCTACAGGAGCTTCTAGTTTCCAAGCATATTGCAGAGGAGACCAGGTTGCAAGGTTCTTTCTAGAACTCAAGGTAACCTGAGACTGGCTATGCCTAGATCCAGCCACACACTGAGGTGTCTTAGGGATACACCAGCCCAATTCTTATTTCGATGAGGAAAACCGAGGCTCCCAGTGGGGACTGGCTTTCCCCAGGTAAAAGGCCTAGAATATGTCTAGATCTTGATTATCCCACGTTCTGTACCTGGTGCAAGCCCCATCGCCCAAATGTGATCATCGGTGCACATACCCAAACCATTGTTCACGCCCAGGGACACGTTCCCTGTCTCATGATTGGCTTTCCAAGCACCACATGATGGAAGGGCTGCTGGTAAGTTGGCACTCCAACCAGCATCTACTTTGCCCTGGACACATTTTTTCCCCTACCAGCTAGGCAGGGAGTTTATTGGCATAATTTCTCCAGAAAGAGGCTGGAAGACTTAGTAAGTTCAAACTTTAACATTTTTATCAAGAATCCCAAAGGGCCACCCTTTTCTCCTCCCATTGCCACCACCAACCCCCATCAGGCGTTCTCTACCACAGGAAGTCAGGGCGCACAGAGCAGAACAGCACAGGCCAAACCAGCAGGCACATGATACATCATCGAACCAACTGAGCAACCACCACCTGAGAGCCATCTTTGTGAAGGGCAAAATGAGCCGCTCATGATACAGGAGGATACAGGAGAGACAGGACTATCTGTATTCTTCTGGAGTGAGGGAGGCTGGATTGGGGTTGAGGGGGAGACTTTCCTTTCCTGTTTTCTCAGAAAACATGCAAAGAAAGGCTTCACACACAACTAAGGTTACACACACATCAATATTTCCAAATTCCCCTTTTCAAAGATGGCCACCCCCGCTGTCCATTCAGAGAGAGCTTGCAGCAGAATCTCTGGGCGTGGAGAGAGAGACAGGCAGCAGGAGAAATTTAGTTTTCCACAAAGGTTGTTGGTTTTTTTCCTTTATTGTTGGAATTTAAAATGCATAGAACTGAAGGCAAAGTCCAAGGCCTAGAGAAAGATATGAGGCCCGAGAGAGAGGCTCTGAGATTCTAAAGGCGGCAGAAGGATACCCACCTAAAAAGGCCACTTGAGCTGCAAAAAGGATGGAGCAGAGATAGAAAATGGGAAAAAGAGAAAAGGGGTGGGGGTGGGGCCAGGGAGGGGGAAAGTGTTTGGGAGGAAGAAGACAAATAAATACCAGTTCAGAAATTCAGACAAAGATACGGAGTAGGAGCTAGTTTAAACCCCAGGTGAGAATAGATGGGCTGGCCTCCAGGTAGGAGCATTCGTTTTAGAAAATGTGAGAAGGGAGAAATAAGAAGAGCAATGGCCGGAGAGCACAGCACCCAGGGGCCCTTCAGTTGGTGGCAGTAGTGGTTGAGCTTCTCCAAGCCTCTGTCATGTCTTCCTGGAGACTCAACAGGGGTCTAAGGAGACTCCATCCAGCCAGGAGAAGGCAGGGACTGGGGACCCTGATCTGGGGCCTCCCCAGAGCTCCCCAGCAGATGGCAAAGTCTTTTTGCTACTGAACTGTGGCCAGGGCTGACTCACCCACACAGGCTGTGCCATCTTCGTTGGGCTCGTAACCCCGACTGCACTTCTTGTTGGTCCGACATCTGTAGCTTCCATATGTGTTGACACACACGGGCTTGTCTCGAGGGCACACGAATGGGAACTGGATGCATTCGTTGGTGTCTGAAAGGGAAGGGAATCACTCACTCAGGAGGGCGTAGGTCCTTGCTCAGGCTCTGCTGTTCCACCCACTCTGTGACTGGGACATGTCCCTGATCTTTGGGCCTCAACTTCTTCACTTCAGTCCCCTTGGCTGACTCCTACTGTGCTTGACCTCTACATGTCAGGGGTGCTCAGGCTCAGTCCTGGGTCTTCTATCTACCACACTTTATCTAGGTGGTCCCTTCATACATGAACGATTCCAGACTTCCTATCTCCAGCCACAACCTCTCCCTGGGGCTCCCGACTCGTGAATATGTCTAACATGCATCTTAAACTTAGCAGGTCCCAGGTGGAACTTTAGATTCCCTCTAGTCCTCAAACCTCTTCTGCCCCCTCTTCCCATCTTCCCTAACTCAATCAATAACTCAAGCAGAAACCAGTGATACCCAATTCTTTCTTTTTCCTCATCTCTGTAGGCAATGTAACAACAGATCCCATTAGTTCTGCCCCTACGGTATCCCCCTTGTCTGTCCACCTGCTTCTCATTCTCATTCTTCTGCCACCAGCCATTCCCAGCCAGCACCGTCTCTTGCCTGGATTTCTGCAGCTGCCTCCTGACTGGCCTCTTGGCTTCCACGCCTCCCTCCAATCCAATCTGCAATTCGGCAGCCAGTGTGATCTTTTGAAAGTGTGACCACATCATGCTACTCTCCTGTAAACTGTGCAGGGCCCTAAGAGCAAAGTCCAGACACCTTTCCGGGCCTTCAAGACTTTCCCAGACTTGGATCTGGCTCCTCTGTCCTCTCTGGGCGCATCGGCCTCCTTCCTGTTCCTCTGACATTCCAAGCCTTTTACCTGCCTCGTGGTCTTCGCTCTTCCCTCAGGTATTTCCATGGCCAGGCCCTTCTCATCCTTTAGGTCTCAGCTCAAAGGTCCCCTCCTCTGAGACCCATCCTGACCACTCTGTCTAGACCATCTCCAGAGAGCTCCTTGCTTAACGGGTTCTTAACTCATCTAGTCCAGCTATTGGGTCACGAGTGATGGTCTGTCTCCCCCCACTAGGATGAACGCCCTCCAGGGGAGATGCTTGGCCTGCATTCCCAGCTCCCCACATGGGCCCGGTGTGTGGGAGGCACATATATGTCCACTGGAAAGTGAAAAGGAAGAGGCGGCTGGATTGGTGATCTCACAGGGACCTTCCAGTGCCCAAGGAAGGTGCTGGAATTTCTGTGTGTGCACCGTCCGTTTGGAGTGGCTAGAGTGGGGACATGGAGAGTGGAGGGGACTCCTTTTCTCCTCAAGCCTCTTAGGGCCCTCCTCCTCCACTTTCTCACCTGTGGTCATTTGTCCACACAGTGCCCTCCACCGGAACACTTTCTCCCCTCTCTTGGCCTGGCAAACTCCTCATCACCCCTCAGGTCTCAGCCTAGACCTTGATCTCCTGGGGCGTCTTCTTGAACCCTCCTTAGACTGGTGTGGGCCCCACCTCTTTGCCACCTCACACCCCTTTCCTCCCCCACCCCAGCCTCTCACACTCTGTGGGCATCGCTGTTAACTCGTGTGCCTCTCCCATGAGCTCTAAGCCCTGGAGAGGGACTGTCTATCTTGTTTACTCTTGTATCTCAGGAGCAAACACATTTGCCTGGGGCGGACAGACATCTGCAGAGGGACTTGGGAAGAATGCTTCCTGAGGGCTGAAAGGCAGGAGGCATCCTTGATCTGACCCCTTACTGTCAGCCAATGGGATGGAAGACATCTGTGAGCCTTCTGGATGCCGAGCCTCTAGGCTGCCCACCTCCCACTCCAGTCCCTGGGGGACTTTCAGTTCACCGGACCTTCCCAGAGCTGTCTTCCTGGCAGTGCCACAGCCACCTGCCCACCTCCCCCCATACTGCTCAAGGCTGCCACCTCCTTGTACTGAGACCATACCCCACACCCTGGTTTGCTCCAGTGCCCTTGCTGCTCCCCCGGTGGCCAGGCTGAAAATGCCAGCTCTCCATGGGGCCCTGTGTCAACCCAGCCTCCACCGCCCCCAGCAGTCAGGCCTCCCTGTGAGCACTGTCCAGGCCGTGGTGTGTCTCATGGCCATTCTCTCTGTATTCATGGCACGGAAGCTCTGCCAATTCCCAGAACTGTGGTGATTCAGCCTGCTGGTTGCTAATGTCGCTCCCACCTCAGTGAGTCACTTGGCGGTTGTCTTGGCATCTGGAGCCCCAGGGACAAACAATAGGCTCCCCTCCCCACTTTCTACCCCTTGTCGGCAACCTGAGTCTTGCCAGGACTCAGGTTGTCTGTCCCCAGGGAGATTCTGGCCTCTGCTCCATCCCCCGGTACCTGCAGGCAACTCACCCATGCAATGGCCATTTTCCTGCTGGGAGAATCCTTGGCCGCACTGCAAAGTGGGCAGAAGCAGAGACACTAGTGAGTTGAGAAGATGGCATCTCAGGCCCTATCACAGCCACAAAGCAGCTCTGTCACCCCGGCCCCAGAAGGAGGGATGTTCTTAGCTCGGGGCCTGGAGGGAGCCCCTCCCTGCCAGGACCCCTTCCCTGGCACTGAGAATAGGACACTGGGGGGAAGGCCAAGAACAGATTCAGTCCAAACTCCTGCTCATTCCCCTACGTGGGACCCACAGTCTGAGTGGGGACAGGTGACAGAAACGGGCCCTCCTGTGGCCTTGCCCTGAGACCGAGGCTGGGTCTCACCTGAGGCAAAGGGTAATGAGGGGTGGGAGAAGCTTTCTGAGGTGTCTGCTCACTCCCCACACCCTCTTCTCTGAGAACCTTCTCCACTCACAGGGGTGGTGCCTGCAAGCCAGGCTCCTCCCTCCCCTCCATCTCTCTGGGCAAGGCCAGCTGGACCAGGGGTGGGCATCCCAGTAGGAGGGATGAGTCAAAGACGCTGCGGCTAGAATTTGAACTGAGGCTGAGATGGATTTGGAAACAGATTTGGTGACTCCAGGCTGTGGGGGCTTTGCTGTGTCTATATGGGGGTTTCGGGGACAGCAGACTGGTAGCAGGTCAGGGAGACTCAAAACAACACTCAACACAAGACAGAAAATGTCAGCTGTCAGCACTGAGGGACGAGGGTGGGGCGTGGGGATTATTAGGGAGGGGTAATGACCTCACCCCCAGGCCAAGCACTAATGACAAAGGTCCTTGAGCTCCTGGGGCGCAGGCCACTGAGCTGCACGGTTCCTGCTCACCCTCAGCTTCCCATGGACTTTGTGAGCTCCCCTAGAAGTTTCCTTAGAGGTCTCCTCTTCGGTGTGAATTTAGGTGGGTTCCTGTTATTTGCAACCACGTGACCGCCATCAGAGTTGGAATCTAGAGCTCTTTCTCCAAGAGCTCCCAGAGGCCCACCCTCAGAACTAACACAGGCTTGTCAGAGATTTGGAAAGAGCTGGGAGGGAAGCAGGAGACCTGGGGTCAATTCTTAACTCTGCTCCCAATTGGCTGTACAGCCTAGTGCAGTGATGGCGAACCTTTTGAGCTCGGCGTGCCAGCATTTTGAAAAACCCTAACTTAACTCTTGTGCCACATATAGAATTTTTTTGATATTTGCAACCATAGTAAAACAAAGACCTATATTTTTGATATTTATTTTATATATTTAAATGCCATTTAACAAAGAAAAATCAACCAAAAAAATGAGTTCGAGTGTCACCTCTGACACGCGTGTCATAGGTTCGCCATCACTGGCCTAGTGGGTTCTTCCACTTGGTCTCAGTTTTCCTCCTCTGTAGAATGGGCGCAAAAATACTTGTCCTGCCAATACCCCCGGATGTCTGTGAGGAGCAGAAGAGATGTGCATGTGGTACTGTTGTGCAAACTACAAATGGTGGGATCATCATGAAGCCTGCCCTTTGCTAGGATTTCCATCGTTCTAGAGGCAAAGTCTGCAGATTCCTGGGAATCCAGCTGCAGCCCATGGGTTTGTGATGAGGCCTCTTTTCTGGCCATCAGGCCCAGATGCCTTTCTCACCTGCAGTGGGGCTGGGTCCTGAAGTCTGTCCTCATCCCGGGGGTAGGGGATCTCTAGCACCGAGTTCATCTCCCCGCTGGCCACGTTCCGGCTGGCCACCTTGCCATCTGGCCACGTCACCTCCACGCTGCTGGCTTCATCCTTCCCTGAGGGACAGAAGGAGAAGAGGTCAGCAGCAGAGGAGAGCGGGAGGGGGTTCTCGTTCATTTCCTCATTCATTGAATAAAAAATATGAGCTGAGCATTGTTCTAGGTGCCGGGGGAGCCGCGAACGTGCAGAGTCCAGCAGCACTGCAGCGATGGTGATGTCCCGTCTGTGCCGTCCAGCACGGCGGCCACTAGCACATGTGGCTGTGAAGCAGGGAAGTGGGGCAAGTGTAAGAAGGAACTGAATTTTAAATTCGATTTAGTTTTAATGAAGTTACACTGAAATAGCCACCCCGGCTAATGGCTACCCTATTGGACAGTGGCACGCTAGAACTTTCAGTGGACAGGCCAGTCAGCAGGAGGCTGTTTTTGGGAGAGGGTAAAGCCTGGTGATGAGCAACTGGCTGTGGAGTCCTGGGTTCGAATCCTGGCTGTACCACTTATCTGGGAGGTTGGAAAGAACACGGTGGGGTGGCTATCTGGGAGACCTGGGGACATATCCCAGCTCTGCAGCCGACTTGCTCCATAACCGGGAGCATGTCACATATTTATCTTTATATTTGTACTAGTAGCCCTGCGCAGGAATCTGTGCACCAGTAGCTCGCCAGTAGCTCACTGCCGCCCTCTAGTAGCTCTCTGCCCACTGCCCCGCCTTCCTGTAGCTCCCCCCACCCCCCCCCCCCCCATAGCTTGCTGCCCTGCCCCCTCCTGTAGCTCTCTGCTGCCCGCTTGTAGCTTGCTGCCCCATCTTCCTGCTGATCCGTGATCTGGTCGTTACATGGTCGGTCGTTACACTTCACGGC